TTTGACTCTCTGATTGGCTATCTTTTTGAGTGTTCATTCACCCCAAAAATATTGAACAATGTATTAAATTTTCAATTGATGTGGCACAACTCATGATCTTCGAAAAATTAAATAAACTTCTCACCCCTATTTTGTAGATCTACATAAGTTTTCTTACTCTGGAATTTTTAATTACCAAATGTAAATGAAAGTGCGTGTTGATTTTCTTTTCAAATCATTTTTTATAAGATATATATAAGACTTATTTCGGAAATGAATATAAGATATAGTATATCGGGTGCGAAATTTAAAAAAATTTTAATCATTCTTATCAGTAATGAAGTATTCTAATAACTTTTCCATTACTTCTTCTTCTAAAGGAGACGGGTTCGAGATTAAAGCTTTTAGGTTGCTTAAAAATAAAATAAAGATTGACTGCCAAAGGGTGAGGTGAGATAATATCACTAAGTGAACGTTTAATCGTTATGCATCTAAAGTTACGCTGCCACTAGGATGATATGATAGGCAGAGAACTGGAAGCGCATCGTGGCCACAGGAGATGTTACAAGTGCCAAATAATAATTGTTTGTGAACGTCCTTCTCTGTTTGTCTGTTATCCGAAAAGCTGAACCTGAGTCTGTGGTGAATAGGATGCATGGATAAATGACTGTTATTGGCTCCAGAGCATTTTTCTTGACGATGATGATGACAATTACTTAATGTTATTTTTTTTTTATAGGTTATTAAGAGGTGATGGTGGCATAGACATGTTTGGCAATCATAACCATTACTTATTATTGTTTCAATGCAAAGACTTTGCTAGTACAGTTGATGTTGATTATATACGATCTTTTGAAAGTGTTATATCAAGATTCGATAAGCAAACAACAATCGGAATTTACATTACATCAGCAAAGGATGGTTATTCGAGCGGTGCTATAGGAAGGGCCAAATCATCAGAATATTATTTATTACTGACAAACATACCTGATCTGTGTCAGGACATTCCCGAATACTTGTCTAAAGTATTAAACGATAATTCTGTCAAGGAAAAGATTTATAGGATTGAAGAAAAGGTAGATGAGATGATTGAAATTCTTGAACATCAGGAGAAGTTTATACATAAAATTAAAAACGATCGAATCAAAATTGAAAATAAGCAAATTAAGTTGGAAAAAAATCAAATTAGAATAGAGTGTAAACAAGAAAAAATCATCTTTTATAATTATATGTTATTATTGATTGTTGTAATTTCTGTATTAGTTAAATATGATTTCTTCTTGTAATTATAAACATTATAAACTAAAAACTAGTAATAAAACAGCGGCATTTATAGGATTGGGGCTCTATATATTAGGTTTCTGAATTTGAAAATGAAAATTAATATTGTAAAATTATATCGCAATATCAAAAATAATTTATACACAATACTCTGGTTATAT